TATATATATATATAGATATATTGTGTGTGTGTGTGTAGATGGGTATGTTTGTAAGTATATATATATATATATATATAAATGGATAAATAGATAGATATACGTATATATACAGCCCTTTAATTCACTTTTCTGTCAAGAAAGATACAAAAAGAAAAAAGGATGTAATAGCGCAGTAGTACCATACAAGAAAAAAAAGGCAAAGAAAAGGCTTCTTTGTGACGAAAAACATTCATGTTATCGGCTTAATATTGTTGCAACTAACCATTAGCAGTGGAAATTGATATGTTTTAACATAGAAACACACAATGAAAATCAGAGCTTATAGGATTGGAATTTAAAAGACAACTCAAGAGAGTTAGAATTACGTACATAATTTAAAAGAATGAAACATTAATTTTAATCTCTCGTTCCATGTTTCAAATTATCATAGTAACCAAAGTGTCATATCTGTAATCTCCACTCTAACAATAAGAGAAAATGAAAGAAATTATTGGTAATATTTTGATCGGAATAAAAGAAGTCCGTTGAAATTATCCTCATGCATGCGTCATAGATTACGTGCAGTTCAACCAATTCAATATTAGATGAATGCCCGTGTGAACATACATACTGGTTAAATATTATTTTGATTTCTTCACTATTCTATGGATCTACTCGTATCGGGTATAGTTTGGAAATTTACTATTCACGTAAATGAAAAACCACCCCCTTCCCGAAACAAAATTGAGGTGAATCGACTACGTTCAGTCAATTTCTCACCTGCCTCAGAACTTTTCTTTGTCTTCGGGTAGATCGATTTGATCGTGCAGGATGTCCTCCCCCTTCTGCCGCAGCTCCGTCTCGTCAAGGATGCGATCAATCTCGGGCCATACATTTGTCCGAAGCGCCTCGACATACCACCGCGCGGTATCCGCAAAGCCGTCGTCGAAGCTGACCTCTGGGCGCCACCCCAGCCCCCGCAGCTTCGCCGAGTCCACGACGTAAACTTGATCATTGCACGGGCGGTCGGCCACGACGACAATGGCGGGGGTTGCGGGGTCCTCGCCGGGTTCGCGCTCCCCTTTCCCGACGGCCGCGAGGACTCGCCGCGCGACCTCACGCACGCCGTACGGGGGCTCCGCGCTGCCGAGGTTGTAGACCTCCCCCGGGGTCCCCGCCTCTAAAACCCGCACGAGCCCCCGCACGGCGTCGTCGACGTGCAGAAACGCCCGCGCCGTGTCGCGCTCGCCCTGCACCGTCAACGCCCGCCCCCGCATCGCGAGCGCGAGGAAGCGCGGGATGAG